AAGCTAAGTCAGCAACACTGTTCTCTAATCTCGTCTCGGAGGTGCCTCTGAGGTCCCAGGGCTTCGCGGAAATTCAATTATCGCTCGTTTCCATTTGGATGCGCGATCGTATCCGCCGTCAAAATTGCGCGCTCACGGATCTCGCGGATATCATTTATGGGAAGTCGAGATCACGTTCCGCGTAGCCGCGCATCTCGCAAAAAGCTCGTAATGCCGAAAATCGCCCTCCGCGGCGCCACGAATCACGCCGGCGAGGAGCAGACAGCACATTTTTCGGTCGATCGGACCGTTGCGCGTTAATTACGCGGCACGCGGAAGATTAGAGAGGAGGTTTCCAGCTGCGGCGGCTGCGGGGGCCGCAACGTTGGAAATTCGCGGTGTTTCGACAGCCGGGGATCTTTCCGGTGTTTCGGCTGCAACCGCCCGGGTGCCGTTACCACCGTAATTTTCGCGGCGAACACGCCCGTGCCGCCTCGGTGCAACCAATTTCGACGCCGCATTATCCACTCGCGGTTTATCCCATCGCTTACAGCGTACCCGAACGGGCCAGGAATCGCGGCTACGGGAGATTCAACACCGACACCGACTCGCCGGTCTGCCCAATCTGACGATCCGCTGCGAGATCGTCATTCGATCGCGAAGGAGGCGGAGATGATAAACGCGATACTTTCTCACTCCAGCTGCTTGCAGGCTCTCCAAGTCTCGAACGGGGAATCTGTCTTTTGAATATCGAGAATTTACGAATTCCTAATTGAAAAGGGGCGATTATTGTACCGCTATTAGAACCGTGATATTAAGAATATCGATCTTTCAAATAAGGGCGACAATTACATCTCATTATGAAGAAGGGGTAGGTCTATTAGTCGCGTAACATTGGAACGGGGTCCTAATGTGATAAAATGTCAAATGAAAGAGGGGGGGGGGGGGTAAGAAATACTCAATTTTCACGCGACGTAATCTTTAAACGGTCCCGTGCATGATGTTTTCTTGCATGTTATAAATCACAATTATCATATATCGACTATTAACCCTATGTTTTGAAACAATTACCATCGAGAAGTGTTGTCGTTGTTAAGATTCTTACGAAAGCCGATTCTTATGACTGTCGTCATGAAATTTTTCACGTCGTTTCAAGAATGCAAAGCGTAATGCACCGTCCACAGACAATCAGAATACGGCATTACAGGCGAAGCTGAAGTAGTAGTAGCTTCCATCGTTGTCGACCGAGTGCTTCGCTCTCGCTGGCGTGTATATTAAAAAGGCCCATGTTCGAGAAGACCTACTCTCGCTGCTAATTAGAGAGTATTCGTAAATAATAATGTCTTTGATCTGCGTGAGTCCGCGAGTTGAACATTTTGACGAGATACCCTCTACTAAAAAACGTTGTTAATTTGCGTGAATACCGTTCGCCCTTTGACTCGAGCGAATATCTAATTAGATTTGTTGGAAGAAGACCGAGACAGACATATCGGCAAATATCAGGAAATTCAACCTTCTTTGTTAAAAGTCATTTGATCGCAGGTCATTAATAAAAAAAAAAAAACGCACGGTGCGCATTTGCTTCGTTCGATCGACGTTCAAATGGAGCGAAGATGCTTCCCTTTCGTTAAAATCGTCCTATTACAAGGACAAAGGGAAGCGCTGCGATCCAATTTTCGAAATCCACTGAAAACTATAAGACGCGACAAAAGGAGAACCGTCCTTCTCGTCGCAGGTCTTTCCGGAAATCCGGTCGGGAATGAGATCGCCTTCGGAAACCATCGCGGCATCGCGGACGATTCTAATCTTTATGTACAGACTCTTGTGCCCGAGAGGCTCGTAGCGCTCTTATCTATTTGTCGAATCTATTCCGATATCCCGGAAAAGCATCTTCCGATGCCTCGAAACGAAACGTGTCGCGAATTCAGTGAGTGCATCGAGATTTCCTACCCATGTAATTTTAATCTATATCTCGACACTCTCGCGTGACGTGACTGCGTACACAGGAGCATGTAATTCGCGTGACATATCGATCGTAAGGAGTCGCGCTTTTCCTCCGACCAATCATCGTGAAAGTCCGCGTTAACCGTTTTCGATCAATTATTCGTAATTGCGAAATCATTGCGACTTCGCGTCGTATTTCGTTATCGTCCTCGTCTCTTTCATTAAGTTCGACAACGACGATGCAATCTTTTCTAAGAAGCTCAGACAGCTCGCCGCCAAGGTGCTTTCGCACGGCGGAAATGGCGAACGGAAGCCGGGTACAAATAACGAATGAAGTGCCGTCTTTCATCGTCGAAAAAAGCGCATTTCTTCCGGCAGTGCTGCGGACCTCGGCCGAAGTGCAATTATCTCGGGCGAAGTGCATGAATTCATCTCTTCTCCATGCTCGATGAATGCGCGCGCCGGCCACTCCGGAAAGATAAATATTCAGATATGCATAACAGGAAGAAGAAGGCAAGGCAAAGCGCGGCCGCGATTTCTACGACCCGCCGACTTGTTTCTTTCACAGGGGACTTTGCGTGCCGCGGGTCCACGTTAAAAGAACATTAATTTCGCGAAATCGCGCGTCCTCTACTAACCGAATGCACCGGCGCGCATTTACAGAGATGTAATTATACGACGTGCTACGTGCGAGAGAGAAAGAAAGGAAGGAAGAGAGAGAGAGAGAGGAGGAAGAGGAGGAATGCAAGTAACAATTCTATTCTTCAAAGAGCCTAGCTAGACGAAAATTTAATACGAAGGAACAAGAGAGAGAGAGAGAGAGAGAGAGAAAAAAGAATCTTTTTAATACTAAATATTCCTTTCTCATAATTAACGTTATAATTGATATTATAATTAATATTATTATGCGATATTCCCCGTTCGGATAGTAAATTTGATTAAGTATATGTTAAAAATAAGAAAATTTTTTTCTCGGGCGACGATAAAACTTTTCGCCGGATCGAGTCAGAAAGATATCTTCGATTCGTGAGTTTTTCGTCGTTCTTCTCAAATTCATGCTAAATTATTCATTCGCGAATCGGCAGCGTCCGGGTGCATGTCCGTCTGCCCCGTAGTAATCGCGAGTCGCTTTCTCCGTCGGGCGCGCGCTAAACGGCGATGCAAAATTCATTTAGCTCGCACATTCGACTAATTATACTTCGTCCCGTTCACTACCGCCACCGGTGCTATTCGCCCGGCAAGGAAGGGCTCATTCACGCGCTCGCTCGCACACATTACGCGCGGATGTATTAATAACTCCCTCCATTGTTCCGGCGTGGCGCGAAATCGCTGACGAGTCCCGTCAAATTTCAATTCTCGATTAATTACACGGTTAATTACGCAGTCCCATGTCGACGCCGGGTTTTCGACGACTCCCTCGTCGTCGATCACATCGGGACACCTCGTCACTCTATCGCTGTCGCCACCGCATTCTCATTCGGCCGGGGCAGACAACATGCAAAGATACGTCTACGAGATGCGCAATTGAATATTTCACTTTTCCTGTCCTCCTTCCTTTTCCATTTTTCACCGGTAACGCGTAAAAATTTTCATGCATCGCGAGCTTCCCCTTCGCTTTAAAACACGCGCGTTTTACGCTCTTTTAAAATATTACTTTAGAAAATTGTACTATTTCAAGCGGATTTTCTCCCTTTTAATGTAATGATTTTTGCACCTGCGTTTTACAGTCTGCGCAATAAGTTGCCGGAAAAGAGATGAGTTGCGCGCGAAAAGCAGGCGGCGTCGGTTAAAGCACACAGAGGCCGGAGCTGTGAGGAATCACGTTGTCGTAAACCAGTCCTCGAAATAATCGATCGATTATCAATGGCGAGGCGTCCCCGGTCGTCCCCGCGTTATAGATGGGAAACATGCAAATGCAATCGTTATTTGGAGCGCTCGCATAAAACTAAATAACGAATCCGATCGTGCGGCGGGAGACAAATGAATGCGGTTAATAGAAACGCGCGGTCGCGCAATCTCCGGCGATCGTTTTAAAAATGCACGTAACAGCTCGTGAATTCGCACGGCGAATATTAAATCGACGGTAATCGCGTGTGCACGGAATGACAGCAATGGGGGGGGGGGGGCATAGAGAGAGAGGGAGGGAAGGAGAGAGGGGAACAACGCACGAATTGATTTGATTTTTCGCGCGACTCATCGGTTATGTGTCGCTGCGCGCTCTGCGCGCATTGCAAGACTCCCAGAACTTCGTATTTTTCTAGGATTTATAAGAAACATATTTTTATCATTTTTGGATAATACAATTTATTAGACGTATATGAAATTTAAACAGATATAATATCTTGAGAATATAATTTAAATGGACGAGCGCATGAATAAATTCGGCGAGTGTTGAATTTTTCCAAGAAAGAGATTTTCATCATCGCGCACCGCTTACATCGAGGCTAGTAATCGCGGTGGACGAGCGGCGCAAGTCGGCGTCGCGATGCTCGTTCCAGTTCCGGAACTGTTCGCCAAGAAATCAATGGAGGGTGCGAATGCCCCGATACACGAGAAACACGCCGCCGTTTCCTGCGCGACGCCTGCACCATCGTTGTATCGCGCTGACCCCGATTCTATGGACACCCGGGGTCCGTAGAAGCTCCGAGACACGGACATATAAAATTACACTGAACTCCACGTGTGAGACCATTTCCCCTCGAAATACCCGTTTCGATCCTCCGGCGCGCGGTAGGTACTCGGACAATTTATACCGAAGCAAGACAAGCGTGCGCCGGCAGCTAGCAGGGAGAGAATGCCCGAGAAGCTGATTTCGGTATATTTCGTCTCCACGCTGCGAAGTTTACAGCTTCGTGATATTTTACATTCGCGAGAAAACAATACGCAAGTTGTGAGCTTCCCCCGAATATGGGGAATCGTATTATAGTTCGTGGTACAGCCGCGAGAAGAAAGCTTCAAGTCCTGCATTCGTGGACCGTCCCCTCGCGTCGCACATTTCACTCGCATTCCGTCGAGATGCGCGAAAGGCACGCGGAGTGGGAGAATGAGTATCTCACGAGTGCTCGTTTCCTTTTCAGGTGAGCATCCGGCCGCGATGCAGCACGGAAACACGGCAGCCGGCTCGCCGAATTCCAAGACGGTCCTACTGATGCTCGCCTTCCTGCTGGGTCAGCTGAGATAATGTGCGTGCACGCCGTGAGAGTCGCCCGAAACTTGGCGAAACGAAGTCGCACCGCTCGCGAAATCGCGACGCGATCGCATACTTGTGAGCGTTAGCCCTTCCGCACAGATCGTCCTGGGTCGAATCCTCCTAGTCGGTGCCATCGTAGGGCCGGGAAGTTAAGTTACTCGGGAGATTACGCGGAATTAATGAGATCTGAGGCTGAAGTTTACCGAGACCCGAAAGTTGACGCTTCCGAAGTTAACGCCTTTCAGATAATCTTTTATTCTCCTCAGTTAGTCGCGATTTTTCTCCTCGCCGACGTATTGCAGATAAATCATCGATTTTTCAAGACAATTATCTCGGTAACGTCGGCAATTCGTCAAATTATTAATCTTTCTTATATTAATCGTTATTATTACACCGTCTTTATTCTTAAGTACACAATCCGAACAATGGAGGCACATGTTGAACTAGGAATTCAATTCAATTTTAGTTCCTCTTTCGTCAAAGTAACAGTTTTAATTCAGAAAGCTCGCAAATCTCGTCATTGTTATATTACTCGTGTCGCGTTCGAGCACTCTCGTCGTAGCGTCTGTCTCGTCCTTTTTAATCTGCCGTCTCGTTTTTCCTCAAACTTAATTGTGAACGTGGCCGCTAAGATGAGAGATACAAAAATAATTTCTGAGAGACTGCTCGTTCTTGCGTAATAAAAGGAGAGCTTTGTGCCTAAGGGTTAAGCGGAATGCGAGGCGGCCGTGTATACACGGTGCCTCCCCCACGGATCCTGCGACGAGCTTGCGAGTCGACTTATCCCGACTGAGAACTCAAAACGGACGAGCTCGGAGCTCCGAAGTGTTTTTCGTACACTCGTAATGCAGCGTCCGGTTCTCACTCACAGTTGAACTGTACGTGTTAAAACGTTAAATAGCTGCGTAATGATAACGAGCGATCCGAGGCGTTTTCACTTCGCGTGCGTTTTCCGTTAATTGGCGGCACCTGCGCGAATAATATTTTCAACAGCAATTTGCGTCTGAAATTAATAATTATAACGCCGCGCGTAACGACCGTTCCCCTCCTCCCCCCCGCCCCCTACCATCCGTAAAACAAGCAGGTCTTGTCTACTAATTGACGATGCGTTTGTTTCACTAAACATCGACTTTTAATTTCACATATTTTCAACGTTTCTAAAATATTTTCTAATATTCTTAATATTTTTTTTATATTTCTGTAATTTTCTCATCCTTTTATAATCCGTATCTCGTTACTGATCAAATAACGAGATAACATGAATCGCAAAGCGAGATCGACGAATTGCATTTTTTTTTTTTTCTTCGGGGATTCAGTTCTGAATTTTTTCCGGAAAATTCGAACCGACTGTAAGGGAGAGCAACCATTGGCATAGTCCATAGTTACTTTCGCATGATAAGCTTTTTTGCGCTCTATATTCACGCATAAGTAATGACGTAAAGTAAGAATAAAAGTACCACGTTCGCAGATACTTGATTAGCGCTAAGATGCGAGAGGCACACTGTTTGTTTGATTCAGCTAAAGAATTAGTTCACACTTCGCGACTTAGCCTTGGTATGCTTTATTGTCGTAAGCGTCGGATATAATAATTCGCGACGACGACCACGTGAGAATAGTCGAGAATTCTTATCATATCCGCAGAGATGGAAGACGCGTCCGCGTTAATCGAGAATTTCAGCGACGGAATCGGATTTCCTCGCTCCACTCGTGATATCATACATAATTTATGTTCAAGCGTGATTCAGATTTTTAGATGTATATATTCCGACCAATTCCAAAGCAACTATTATTATTATTATTATTATTATTATTATTATTATTATTATTATTACCTCTTTACACAGCAAAATGTTTTGTATCAAAAACGGCCCGTTGAAATTTTGTGTTAATTTAACGGGGGCGATATATTAAAAAGTACGCAAATATATGTACTTAAATATATGTTGACAAGGTGAATGTATTGATTTGTATTGATTTATATTTGTGTAATTTTTAACATATGCCTCATATTAAAATAAAAAAAAGTGTTAACCGTTTTTCATATAAAATTTTTTACTGTGTAAAAACGTACGGAAAAAAAGAATTAACTCCCACGGCTAAAAACTAACTCCTACACGTTTTAAATAAAATTTACCTGTCCGTATAATACAACTGAAATTTAGTTAATTTAGCTAATTTTTTGTCCCAGTACCTAGTTTTCAGCTCCCAAAAACTGGGGACTAAACTTCAGTTGTATCATATGGGCAGCTAATTCCTTTTCTCCGTACGGTTCCTATACTTTCGCGCGAGAAGATGGGATCACCGAGAACGCCGCTGAAATTGTCGAATAATCACCCCACGACGTTTGTAACGGCACAGCGAACGTAAGAATTAACGACGATGCATCGATCGTCGACGCGAAGAAAGAGAGGAAGAGCGAAAAAGAAAAAAGAGACGCGATCGAACGCGCACGCGAGTGTCGCCAGAAGGATGAGGGGAGTACAAGGAGATAAAACAGAACCATGTTCCCGCGCCCCTTCTCCCGACCATAGAAAACGAAAGAGAGGAAAGTGAGAGAGGGCGAAAGAGAGACCCGTGAGGAAAGTGTTAAGTGTAAAATAAATGTGTCACACGAGTAAATTTAAGCGAGAAGCGATGTAATAAAACGACGGTCGGACCGAGTTCCGCGCCGCGGCGGAAGTACTTTCTACTTACGTGCATAAGTGTTAAATGAAACTTAAAGGAAAACACACAGAAAGACAAAACACGTACACACGCATAACAGTAGGAAAAATGTATGTAAACCCACGCGACTTTACGACTCGTATGATTTAACATACGCGACGACTAGCCCGAAACTGTGTTGTTCCCTTATCCATACTCCCTCCACCCACCCGCTCACTTACCTCACACATCCTTCTTACCATCTTATTTTTCACACGGTTCTCTTTGCGAGAAAGCGCATTCTTGTACATAATGTTTTACTCTTGTAAATAAATTACCCACACGACCCCTTGTCGATTCATTCTCGCCAGGCCTGTCCCGCGACGACAATCAATCTCGCCCTGATTAGCAGTAATCGTATCGAGTAGTTTATCTTGATATAACGTTAAAATACGGTACGGAGTTCCCGTATATATACAGAAATCCGTGATACAGAAACCTATCTCTTTTTTTCGATTCCCGATTTTATCAATTTTATCGTTTCATTATTTTCAAAGTCGCGGCGTACGTTTATTATTATAATAACGTGGAGGTTTAAATTGAATTACAACGTGAGTCTTCTCTTTTCGTCTATCTCCGTCCGGAGACGCTTATAATTCGGAGCTAACGGCAACGGCTGCGAGAAGATGGCCTGCGAAGATCGATAGCCGTGACCCCGATGCGCTCGAACTTTTCCCGCCGGGGATATTTAAGGATCTCCGGCTTCGGCTCATGAAGTTCTCTCACTTGCAGACCGTCCTCGCAAAATAACGATGGCGCCCGATTAATTTTCTTTAGCCGTTCAGTGTCTCCGAAGCGCCGCCAACGCTGGGGAAGTTCTTCTGACCCCGTTAACCGAGTCGTATATTTCGCACATGAGGTAAGTGGAATTTTCTACGGTTCTTTCGAAAAATGGCGGCAAGCGGTGTTTCAACTGCGACGGGGTTATTGACATGTTAATACGGTTATTGACAAGAAATAAAAAACTAAGTCGCACAGTACATGATCGCACATGCGAGATGGAGCTCGCGCTTTTAACGATGCACGAAGTAGAGTTCGAAGTTAAATTCCGCCTCGGTACAGTAAAAAGTTTTGTGCTAAATTAACGCATTTTACATGTCCCAATGATCCAAAATGATCTAAAATTTTCATGTTGATTCAACGCAAGGTGGATATATTAAGAATTAACGCAAATAATATGTCAACAAGTTACAGAAAAAAATATAATATTTTAACACTATTTGTAAACAAATTTTATGCAAAAATAATATTTATGATATTAAATGTAACTGAAATGTAACTAAAAGAAATGTTATTTTCACATTTATTTTTACATGGTTACACGGATATGAAGTACTAATATTTTGCGTTGTGGTAGCTCTGATGCTAAGTTGAATCGTAACATATATGTGTCGTTATCTGCAGGAGACATAATTCTCGTAATTTTGTAAGATAACGCCGCTCTTAATACTCGTACACTTTACTTGTCCTAAATGATCCAAAATGATCACAAATTCACTCATAACCTTACGTTACAATTCACGTCACGATCTGCAACACGATCTGACGTAGTAATGCTGCCAGATGCCGCTCGACATTTTTATGTGATATTTAACATATAAAACATGTTGATTCAACAGATAACAATTGTTAACGAGGAAAAACAATTCCAAAACTATACGATCTTTATGTGAATCGTGCATATAAATCGTGTTATTTCAACACAAAGAAATATTGAATATCACTTCAACACAAAATCTTCAAATAACGCGATCACATTATGTCACATTAACACACGGTTGAGAATTCAACATAAAACTTTCAGCAAGGACCGATTTTAACGCAGGAACGAAATGTTTTTACTGAGATGTACACTCCGTGTATTCGCAAGGAGCTATCGAAAAACGGAGCGCCTCCTAAATCATCGAAAATAAAACACCTGTAACGTCTCCGGATTTACTTTGCGAGTACAGAGTTTCCCCATTGAACGCTACCGTAAGCCCGGATGCGGTGCATAAAATTGCAGCGACGTGCAGTCGGCAGGCATCGACGACGTGGCGCGACGCGACGCAATCAGACCAGGGAAGGCCGATGAATATTTATGCGCATCCACCTACGCCTTGCAAAGCCGCGACAATCCACCGATGATATATGCGGTGAATTTTTTAAGAGATGTTGCGTCGCATCGCGGTGCACCGCGCCATGGCGCACCCGAATTCCCGGGGGACACGCGGCTCCGTTGCATCCGCGCGCGAGTAAATAGAACACAGGTGACGCGCGAGGGGAAAGGAAATTAGAGACGCATTTGGACGAAAAGCGTATTTCCTGTCGCGCAAAAATAGTCTGTATGTGTTTGTGTAAGTGTGTATGTGTGTATGTCTCCGCCGAATCGTCGCGCCGACTCGAATCCCGATAGAGATTTTCTCACGAGTGCAAAGTGAAGAAGAAAAACTCGTCGATTATTGATCGACGTTATCGATAAACGTCGCGTGTAAACCGTATTCATTAGTAGACTTCAATCGTTTATCACGCGAAAATTTATTAATGTCTCGATGTCAAACCTAGATGAAATTTTGGTTTTACATTATTCCGTTTGATTCAAGGAACAATGAAAAATTTCAAGGTATAACACACTGTTAATATAATATATTGTCATATACTGTTAAAAAGATTCTTAAAAGTAATGGCGTTTTTGCTAGAAAGTTTAAGAATTTTATATTAAAATTTATAACTTTGAAGATTTTCATGTCAGTGGTTATAAAATAGTTATGATGTTTCATAGTTATTGTAAAATCAAAAGGCAAATATGTGAGAAAACTTCATAACCAAATCATTAACTTTAATATGAATTTTTCTAACACTATAGTACAAATCATTGTCTTTCGATATTACGATATTAATTACGATTACTTACCCTATCGCTTTATTGAAGTATTTAAAGAATGATTTATTTAAGAATTATTTATTCGATATTATCCCGATATTTTATCTGCATGTAATCGTTATTCTTAATTCAATAAGCGATGTATTGTTTATTGACTTAAATATAGATAGAATACGTGTGATAATCAAATACCTTTAGTCGAAATTCACACTGGCATTCATAGTTTATCGTTTGACAAATAATTGTACTTTCATTAATCTTCGATTCTTCGCAACAACTTGTATCCAGTAGCTATTACAGCTGCGTACATCTACATCCGCGTTTTATGACGCGGCTGCCGTTGTTAGCTTAATGAACGTCGCTTTTTGCAATAATAAATTAGCGGGTCCTCCACTCGACAATAATTATACGTTTCTTTCTCCTTTTTATTTAAGAATAACAAGCGTGTGTGCACATGAACTAATTAATAGAGTTGTGTGCCGTGATTGAATTGCGTCGTTGCGGCGTCGTCGAACTTAATTAAAATAGCTCAACCATACACTTCACTTTCTCCGACGATATAGCCACGCGTGCGTACACACTCCACCGTTGACATTTCCAATTTGTCGCATACTAAAGAACCGGCGGCTAACTATATGCAAAACTTTGATTAGGAACCAACATAACAGTAAACAGCGCGAGTAAATCTGCCGTCGCGTTTAGCAAGTGAATGCAATTAAACGCAGCAATATTATTCTATTTAGTATAAAAAAGTAATATAACTAATATAATTAATATAATGGTATATAATATACGACCGGTAATTCACCGATTTTGTCATCTAATCAGTACGGTTACAAGAAAAAACGTAACTATATCGCCGTTCACTTTACTCATTTTATTTATTTGCTGATATAAATAAAATTATCTCCATGTTTATTTTGATTATTTTTTCAATTAACCAGGCTTCGGAATTCAAGATTACTCGCAGATAATAAAATAAATAAACATGAGAAATTTTTGCTCAAAACTCTATATAAATATCATATATATAATTGCAAATAAAAGAAATTTTTTTAATTTCCGCATTCTGTCGGAGAATCAAACAGAAAATAATCGCTATCTAATCCGGCGACAATGAGAAACTCATCTCTATGCAATCGCTCCACCTTGCCATATGTCCGTATAATCTTCTTGGAAAAAAATGCAAAAAAACGTGTTTTCTTACACACACACACACACGAGGGAGGAAGGACATTTGCAAAAAGGTTCCGCCCTGTAGATTATGACGCACATACGAAAAGCTGTTACGCGCTTAGCGGTAAGTACGTGGAACGAGAGTATTAACGCGTGCTCGGTGCGCCAGAATGCGAAATTGCTCTTACATGTCGCGGCCGTGTGTACGCATCATAATTAATGCGCGCAGATTAGGGGATTAAACTAACTGCAGTAACGGCAACCAGTAACGTCCTTAACCTGGATACGCGCACGGCAGCGCGATCTGACGATGACACTCGGGCGTTTCGCGCGGATAATTTCTATTTATCGCGTAATACCGGGAACGGAAGTTCGTCCCTTAGAATAATTCATTCCTCGCCGCTTTGCGCGTGATCGGGCCGCTTTACGCGAGCGTAAATTCATCACGCTCGTATAACCGATCGGAATTAGGGCGTTAATCAACAGATAATTATTCCCTAATCCGGAAACTTCCTCGGGAGTTTCGGTTTCGCTACGCTTTCCCTTTAATTATTGGCGCGAACCAATCAGCCCCAGATACCGAAACAAGCCGATCGTCGGCTCGCTTTTCCTTGGCCGGCAACATTGCGTTTCCGTCGGCCAGAGCCACCCTCGTGACAAAGGGTGCAGAGGATGAAAAAATCGACAAAAGGGACATCCCGACTTTTGAACCCGCGCGGCGAAAAGCGGAGAATTCGCTCGAGAGGAGTTGCAGAGCCCGTCCGTTGCAACTCCGCATTCGTCAATTATCAAAAGTAAACCGAGTGTAACCTCGGCTCCATTAACGGGGGAGGAGCGATGGATTAATCGCAACAACGTGACCGGAAATAAAGCGCCGTTTCCCGCCATTCCTTTTGACGTTCGCCCTTTGTTGTTTGCCTTGCCGAAACTATCCGTGGAAGTGCGCGATACCGCATGCCAACGCCGGGAACGAGCCCTTTGAACGACGCGCAAAGGACGTCGGGGCTTCAAACACCCTGTGAGAGTTTCTCGTCGTTTACACGTACGCGCGCTCCACTTTCGGACCCGGCCAAGCCCGTCCGAGCCCCAGCAAAATCAAACGAATCAAATGAACTGAGCAGAATCCCCGATAAAGCGACAGAAATTCGCTTCGTTAGATCGACTACTCCTGCCCGGCCCAACTCGTTCCGCTACTACTGGCGGCTCTCGACGGGCCACGTGCGCGCAC